GGGGGTGACGGTGCCACCGCCGAGACGCCGTGGAAACATCATTGACCCCAGCAGCACGGAGCCGAGTCCCAACTGCTGCCTTTTCTACTACTGCTACTATTTCTGCCGGTAGTGGGAAATCCTATCCCATGTTTCTAACGGGGAATATGGCGCGTGCAGTCAATTCAATTGTTCTTCCCTATCGCTATCCTATGCACCGCCACCTACCCACCAATCGGTCTGCTGTTGCTGCGGCGATTCAGGAGAAACAGGTGCGCCGTCAAGCAGGCTGCTGGGCGACCGCCCACGCGTCACCCCTCTTCCCAGCACCGACAACCCACGCATCAGCGACACTTCGCTCTGTGCGCCTTGAGGCAGCCGATGTGATGCTGCAGCAAGAGTACTTTTTTGCGCGTCAAACGCCGACAGACACTCTAGCTGCCGGAACATTCTTTTCTGGGTATGACATTGTTCTCTCCATAGCCAGTAAGAAATTACATGAATTTCCTTTTTTTTTTCGCTTTTTGCCGTCGTGATTTTTGCTCTTCACCTGCATGTTTTTGCTCCCGTGCTTTCTTGGGATTAGGTGGTGTTGATGCGCCTGCACTATTCCCTTTATCCTGACCCTCCTTGTGGCTGCTAGGCACTCGGCTGACGCGTTTTTTATTTTAGTCTATCTTCTGGCGTGGATTGCACACCTGCTCATATATTTGCCTGGAGGGAAGCGGCATCAGATTTTCACTTGCCACCGCAGGACAGACAGTTGTAGGTTCGATGCATACTTTCTACACGATCCGCTACCCGCCACCCAACTCCCAGAAAGGAGCAGAGGAGAGTCAACCGATCCGTGTCACCAACAAGGCAATGGAGTCGTTGCTTTTTTGCATTGTGCACTCGATCGAGTTCCAGAGCCCCCTGCAGCCATCTAAGCCTCAAGGGGGGTCTTCCGGCAAGGACGCCGTCCCGGAGGATGAGGCATACGTGCGTCCGGTGGAGAGCTCGAGCGCGCTGCTGGGGAATGTGACGTACGTGTCGCGATCAAAGCACAACCCGAGTGTTCTTGCCTCGCTGCACGCTGCTGTTGAGGCGGCCCGTGCCATCCCAATTCCTGAGAAGAGCAGTCAGGTGCCCTTTGAGCTACGGGTGCGGCTTCTGCGCCGGCACCGCGGTTGGCTGTGGCACGACTCGCGACCGCTCGTGGAGTGGGTGTTTCGGATGACCAAAACGAGGGAGGAGTTTAGCTTTCCCGCCGCTCGTAGTGAGGCGGGTGGGCGGCCGTGTCCCCCCGCGCCCTCGTTTGCAACAACTGCCCACGCGAATGTGGTGCGCGCTGCTGGGGGAGGAGGAGGCGGTCCTAGCCGTATTCAGGAGGAAGGGCTAGTGTGCTCGAACGATCCGGAACAGATTCGCCACGTTCTGCATTTTATCCTGAGGCACAGCTACGACGCCATCGACCTGAACACCTACGCCGACTTCAGATCTGGGGAGTTGGTCTTTGATGTGTCCGTGCAGGGAGTCTAGTGAGCGGTGTGCGCGAGTGGCTCGAACGTAGTTTTTTGTCTTTGCTTACCTTGCTTCGCTTCAAGTGTCTCACCTGCTTAGGGGTTGGGCTGGCCTGTAACTGTGTTTCTCTGTGTGTATGTATGCCTGTGTGAATGTGTATTGTGGGCGGCCAGGCTCTTTACTGAGATCCTTGCTCTACTTTTGGGTTGCGAAGTGGCGCCAGGTTAGAGCGGTTTGATGGCTTTTTTTTTTCCGCCGGTGCCACACAAAACTGGAACTGTACAGCGGTGAATAAGGGATTGGAGGATAGGGCATGTCACTCTCCGTGACTCTGCTTTGTGACGTCCTCGCATTTTATGCTGGCTCAGATATGCCATTGTCACTCCTGTGTGTGTCTCCCAGCTTTCGGTTGGCCTGCGAGGAGAGGCGGGTGATGGAGGTTGGGTCATGGGGCTTTTGCCTTGCGGGCGATGTCTCTCGCAGAGTCATGTGGCGGCCGTCTGTCCCGCTGCGTAAGCGCTGCGTGGGGGATGAGGTGTGCCCGGTGGCGTGGTGGTGCAATCGACCGGCGCCCAACTCCTGCGAGGCTCCTCCGGTGCGTCTGGACCTTGCGGCTGCTTCCCTGTTCCACAGCGCCCATCTTTCTGTCGCTTTTCTTTTCGACTCGCTTGTTGAACTGACGCTCCGGCGCGCACCCATCAAGGATGTGAACGTGCTTGGGAGGCTGCCTGCGTTGAGGAAGCTGGAGCTGGTGCAGGCTCAGGTGGTGGACAGCGGAATCATTGGACTGAGTGAGAGCAGGAGCCTGGCGGAGGTAGATCTTTGGGGATGCGCTGCACTGACGAATGTCAGTCCGCTTGGAAAGGTCTTTACCTTGCGGAAGCTGGTGCTTGCTGAAACCAACGTCTGCGACGACGGTATCGCCGGTTTGGTTGATGGCTTGAGTCTTGACGAGGTGAACCTGGAGATGTGTACTAAGGTCAAAAGCGTGGGATTCTTTGGCCGGCTGCCGAGGTTGCGGAAATTGCTCCTGGTGGCGACATCGGTCGAGAACAAGGGCGTCGTGGGGCTGGGCAGCAGCACGAGTCTCGTTGAAATTGACTTGTGGGGGTGCAGCGCGGTGGATGATGTGAACCCCCTGGGGATGATACCGACTCTGCGAAAACTGGTTCTTTTTGGCACCTCTGTGACGGATGAGGGTCTCAGGGGCCTGAGGAGTAGCCGCGGCCTGGAGGAAATAGATCTGACGCGTTGTGAGGCTGTGACTGAGGCGGAGACGTTGGCGAAGTTGCCGACATTGCGGCACACTGTGCTGCTGCACACTTCTATTCGCGACGTGTCGGAACTTCTCCTGATGGGGGTAACAGTGACAATTTGACGGAGTCGTTGCGGGGGCCGTGTGGGAGGAAGTGTAGGCCGCGTGGCCACAGACAGCCCGCTTCTCTTTTCGCCGCCCCTCGTTGCTCTCACTCTGCCGTTGCTTCCCTACTCTCTGTTCCTCGTCGTTTGAAGAGTAGGGGCTCACCTTGCGGAGATGAAGCGGCTACAAGAGGACGGTGAGCGGGAGTGTCTTTATCAGACGAGGAGTGGGGGGCCCAACTATGCACGCACGGATTTGGTGGCGATGTTGAAGGAGGCTCAGGTGGCGACTATCCGTTTTGCTGAGGAGAACCACGACCTCATCGGTGGTGCCGTCAACGCCGCCCCCGCCTCCGAGGAAACGTGCAGTCGACAAAAATTGGAGGGGGCGTACCTCGGTCTCGTAAAGGTGCAGGCACCGATGGTCCGCTGCAGCCGGCCAGCATTCCGCAAGCTCTGCCGCCTGTGGGGAACGGACGTAAGCTACACGCACATGATCATGGCGGACAGCTTCACCCGCTCCAGTGCAGCACGGAAGGCGGACTTCTCCATTTACGCAGGCGAAGATCGTCTGGTAACCCAAATTGCCTCCTGTAGCGGCCCTCTCGCCGCACAAGCGGCGACGCTCCTGGCGCCGTACTGTGATGCGATCGACCTCAATTGCGGATGCCCGCAGCGCTGGGTGATGAAAGAGGGTCTGGGCTCGGCTCTGCTGCAAAAACCAGAGGTCGTTGCAGACATGCTGAGTTGCATCCGCAATGGGCTCTCAGGCGGGTTGAGCCTTCCGTGTGTCGTGAAGATGCGCGTGGAGGACGATGTGCGGCGCAGCGTGGATTTTGCCCGTCAGTGCGAGGCGGCTGGGTGCGGGTGGCTCACGGTGCACGGGCGGACGCCGTCGTGCTCGGCGCACGCGCCTGTTCGGCTAGACGCCATACGCACCGTCCGGGAATGTGTCTCGATTCCCGTTGTGGCTAACGGTGGCGTGAACAACCCACAGACAGCTCTCAAGACGGCCTTGGCAGCTGGTGTGGGTGGCGTGATGAGCGCAACAGGCCTTCTCGCAAACCCCGCCTCTTTCTACGTGCCGCGGGATGACGAGGAGCTGCGCTTCGCGCCGCAGCGGTGCGGCGTTGATGTCGCGCTGGAGGCATCTGTGGGGCGCTGTGCAGGCTCAGATGCGGGGTCCGCTACTGTGGACGGCGCGAATGCTGCATGGCCGAAGGTCCTTCACTGCTGCCCAGTGGAGGTAATTTCAGACTTCATCCGTCTGAGCTGTGTGATGGACCTCCCGTCGAAGGCAACCTCGATGCACCTCCTCAAGATGGGGGGGAACTACCTGAGCCCGACGGAGCGCGTCTTTGTGGCGCAGATGCACTCCTCCTTCTCGGTTGTGTCGACGTTCCAGCAGCTTGGACTGTACACTCAGGAGGGCAAGTTTCGAGTTGTGGAGAGCGTGACGTAGGCATCACGTAAGTCTCCAACGCACCATTAATTAACGCACTTTCGCAAGACAGTTTTTTGTTATTAAACCCTTGTGTGTGTATGTTCCACCCATCACCACAAACACCCTCTGCGCAGTCACGCCTTGCCACTCTGCCTCTGTGTGTGTTTGTCTGCCCGCACCTTTTCTTCTGTTGCTGCGCGGCACAGCGGGGCTGGAAATGGTGTGCTGTGGTCGACGTGCGGCTCCGCTCTTCCCCGTTGTGAACCCACCCCTAGGCATAGCGCGCGCGCGGCCCGGCGGAGGTTGCGGAGTTGGAGCGTGGCGTCATGCGCCACGACGACAGCAAGCCGCCAGTGGTTCCGCGCAGCATCAGCTGTGAGAAGCCCAAGTCCATTTTGAAGAACACGGGCGGTGCCCCGGCGCTCACAAGGAGATCCTCTTCGTCGAGGCGCCGTGTCTCCTTCGAGGAGGACGATAATTTCACGGAGCCGCGGCTGCGCTTCGCTGCACCGACAGACGCACCGCTGTCCCACGGCGGGGCAGCGGCGGAGGACGAGCCCGCCCTTGCGCGGTGGGAGGCCGCACCCAGCAGCCGGGCGGAGGTGCAACCTAGAAGCGCAGCGGATCGGAGGGCGTCGGAGCCGGCGAGCGGGCGTGAGCGAACGGCGGCGGCCCCGTTGCCTGTCTCGCCGCACGACTCCCCTATCATCGCCCCCCGCCAGCCCCCACCCGCCAGCGGCAATTGCGACGACAAGGAGGCGGCGCGGGGACCTGTTGGGTCCGAGGAGAGGCCCCCAACGGCGGTGCTGTCGCGCGCACCCGCTGCGGCGGCGGCCGTCGCGGAGACTCCCTGCGGTTCCGAGGCGTTGTCTCCGCTGCCGGAAGTGAGCGTCAGCGATATCACGCCTTCCCCCGCCAGCCTCGTGTTGCGGCTGGGCCGCTCGGGCAGCGGTCGGTCCTCTGCGGACAGCTGCGCGGGCACAGCCGCCGCCGGGCTTAGCTCGCCGCTGGATGCGAGAGAGCCACTTTTCCCCGACGTGGGCGCGTGCGCCGGCTGCCCTGCGCTGAGCCTCGCCCCCGCCGCGCCCGAGGCGTGCGGCAGGGAATTGGCAGTGCCGGACGGAAGCTTCTCGCCAATCTTTTCCGGACGAAATTCGCCGGAGCAGAAGAGCAGGGGCGTGCCCGTTCGCTCCTCCTCCCAGCACTCCACGTGGTATGGCGGCAGTGCAGAAGCCGTTGTTCGTCCTCCCCGCGTCCGGGGGCCGACTGCGGCGAACGCGAGCAGTCATTCCTCCCCGCTGCCGTTTGAGGGCGGCGTCAACCCCGCTGATCTGGTGTTCGACGACTCCCCAGCGTGCAGTGAGCCGGCGGCAGACGAGAGCGACAACGGTGTCCCTGTGGCCTTGGGCGCGTCGCACTGCCGCCGGGTGCTCGCTTTTCCCGTGCAGCTGTACCCTGGCCTCGTGGGACCGGGCGAGCCGCCGCACAACACTGCCTCGCCGGAGCCATCGTCCTCCAACGCCACGGATGACGGTGGAGAGATCACGCCGCAGGGACGCCGCGGGCGGAGAGGGCGCCGGGCAGCTTGGAACGGCGACCGAACACCCATGCCGCTGCAGCCAGTTCTACGAGCGACCAACGCCGACAGACCAGGAGAGTGCGTTGCTGCGCGGCCGTCCCCAGCGCGGGGTCCGCTTGTTGCGCACCTCAACGCCCGTGGCGCCGTGGAGGAGCCGCCAGAGTTGACGGATGGCGTTGTGAGGGGCACGGGGGAGGTGCTGGCGCTGAAGGAAAACCAGCACCCCCTGCTGCGCCGCGACCAAAGCTCGGCAGCGGATGGTGCCTCACCGTCTGCCTTACTGAGCTGCGCGCGCGCGTCTTCCCACCTCCCTCCAAGGCGGGCGAAGCCGGTGGTGGTGGAGTACATCAACAAGTTGTCTGCGTCCTGGCAGGAGACGCTCCGCGGTGACCTGCACCGCCGCAGCCGCAGCCGCTCTAGTGACGACGCCTGCCCGCCTCGTTCCCGAGAGGAAGTCACAAGGCAGCTGTTCCCGGGGGTGTTCTTTGGCCTTGCGTCGATGGCGGCAGACGCGCACCACGCCAATTGCCCGGCGGCCGACGCTTTGGGCGCGTGCCCGTTGATGCCTATCAGGGGAACGGAGGTTGTCCTGTCAAAGCCGTTGAAGGCGAAGAAGCGGCGCGGGGGCGCCGAGCTGTCCCCCACCGCTGTTGTGGCCACTTATTCTGCTGTCGCCGCCAACAAGGGCAGAAGCGGCGGAGAAAAGCGTCGTGTGGATCGGGCGAAGACCCCTCCAGAGACGCGTCCGCGTGAGGAGGCATGTGCGGAGCCAGAGGAGTTTGAGGAAGTTGACTCGTACTGTGTGTCTTCGACGCCGGCGGCCAATGCGGCTCCGCCAGTCGTGGAGAAAGTCAAGTCGGGGCAGCAGCAGTGGCACCCCGGCGGAAAGCAGACGACACGTACCCCCACAGGTCTTGGGAAGGGTGGGAGTTGCTGCGACTCGGAGGGCGCACGGAAGCGGCGCGGTGCAGAAACGCTAAAGGGGGCGGAGATGAGGAATGAGGAGGAGGAGGGGGAGGAGCGTCGCGCCCGGCGATTTGAGAAACTTCGCCGCGCGCTGCTGCTGTACTCAGCCGAAGGTGCGTCCTCCCCGCCTGGAAGGCCCCGCGTTGCAGGCCACGATTGCGGTTGTCCCACTGCTGCAACCGAATCGACGGGGGCACGGGGCCGCCGCGAACGCGGCGTGCCCGCGCGGCAGAAGAATAATTTGCCGCCCTCGCCGCCGTCCGTGACGGCGGAGGGGCTCATACATACGCCCGAGCGAGCCGCATCGCCGGGGGGGAGCGAGGGGCCCCCGGCTGCGCAGCCAAGGATCCTGTTCGCGCCAGCTCGCTCTGTGTCACCGCCAAGGACTTTTCCCTGCAACCCGAACGCGAACGGCGGAGAGAATGCAGGGGGAGGCGGCGTCGGCGTGCTGCCGGAGCGCCGTGTGCGCAACCGCGCGGCGGCGAGGGCGTTCGCCCGCGACATCACTGGCATTGTCCATGCGCTGAGGGAGAGCACCTGGGTGAGGATGTTGTGAGCCTCTCACTTAGATCTGCTGAGAGAGTGGGTGTGTGCGTGTGCGTGTGCGTGTGCGCGTGCGGGGACCACGCTGGCCGTGTATCTGCGTGTGAGAGTAGATGAAGGAACGCATGTGTGGCATCCTTGACGGCCCCGCTGCAGTGCGGCGACGTGGCTCGGGACCATGTGTTCTGAGACGCGCGACGCCGCATGCGCATGCAGTTCCCGCATGGTGGGACGCGTCGCATTCCTTCTGCGTACCTCTATGCTTCTTTTTTTTACCTTTTTCTTGCGGGACACGTGGTTCGAGAGCCAGTAGGCGATTGAAAAGGGAGAACTGCCGGCGCCCTGCGACGCGCGTGGGCATGACGGTCCCGCTGACGGAAGAGGACCTCCATGACCTCTACCTCTGGGTGGACGACATCCCCATCTCTCGCCCGAAGCGCAACATCACGCGTGACTTCAGCGATGGCTGTTGCGTGGCGGAGGTGGTGAAGTTCTTCTTCCCGAGGTTGGTTGACCTGCACAACTACACCCCGTCGATGTCGATGAGGCAGAAGCGGGACAACTGGGACACTCTGAACAGCCGCGTGTTCCGCAAGCTCCACTTTGAGGTGCCGCCGGAGGAGATCAACGACATCACGGCGGGCGTGCCGGGTGCGATCGAGCGCTTTCTCCGCGCCCTTCGGACGAAGATCGCGCAGATCAAGGCCCGCCGCGAGAAAATGGGTGCGCTGGAGGCGCGCCCGGGCGGCAGTGACGACGACGGCAAGGACGGCAGCGATGCCCGGGGACGAGGCGTCGACTGGACGACGGCGGGGAGGCGGCGGGCAGTGTGCCCTCGGCGCCGCCCAGGCGGCGGTGTGGAGGCCGACCCCGCGCTCTACCGGTCGACATCCGACGCGGGGGAGGCTCCCGCGACGCGCCTGGACGTCCACGGCAGCCGTGATAGGAACTACAACGCCGGCGGCGACGCCGCCGCCACGAGCTTCCGCCTGCTACTAGATGAAAAGGACCGCACCATTTTTGAGCTTCGCGAGACCGTCAGTCTGCTGAGCGAGAAGGTGACGAAGCTGGAGGAGCTGGTCCGTGTGAAGGATGCGAAGCTGAATGCCTATCGAGCCAAGCTCGGGCCCCTGTGATGCGCTCTCCCCCCCCCCCTTGGAGAGGACGGAGAAGCCAGCGGCGCCGGCACTTGCGCACAGACAGGGGAGAGTCTCTGTGGATCCCTGCGTTCTCGCTGCTGGGGGCAATGGGTGCCATTCCGTCGTTGTTGGGCGTGTGGAATGTGGCCCCCGACGCCTCACCAGCGGGTGCAGAGAGAAGTGAATAGCTGTAGCTTGCGAAAAACGCACTGCGATAGCTATACACACGCACCCACAGGCGCCAGACAAGGTGCGGGAGGGGGACCCCTTGCACCGGCCGCTTTTGTTTTTGTGTCACGCATGGCTTCTCTGCATGTCATATGTGCGCGCCCTGTTTTCCTCTCCTGCTTCTTCTTCCGTCGCCACTTAGCCCGTGCGAGTCGCAAGGAAGTGGAGGTTGTGCGTGCCTTTGGCATTTCACTTGGCAGCCGCCAGCTGATAGGTGACGACCATGAGCGCCCGCATGCAGATTCCTCTGTCGCAGCGGCGACACACGAACGTGGCCGTCGTGCGCCACACAAAAAACGGTGTCAGGTTAGAGATCGCGTGCTACAAGAACAAGGTGATATCTTACCGTGCCGGGATCGAGACGCGCATGGACGAGGTGCTGCAGGTGGAGCGCGTCTTCACGAACGTCTCCCGTGGTCTGTATGCCTCGGAGAAGGAGATCCAGACTGTCTTTGGCGAGGGAGCAAGCGAAAAGGAGGCATTGCAGTACATCCTCGACCACGGCGAGCTGCAGGTCGCACAGCAAGAACGTGCGGCGGAGATAGACCAGATGTTCATTGACATCGCGGTCATCATCTCGCAGAAGTGTCTAAACGAAGTGACACGGAGGCCCTTCCCCAGCCAGGTCATTGAGCAGGCGCTGCGCTCCATCGGCGCCGTGGTCAAGCTAGACCAGCCGGTAAAGAAGCAGGCGCTCGCACTAATTCATCAACTCATGGATGCGAAGATAATTCCCATTGCACGCGCGCGGATGAAGCTGCGCTGCGTCGCCCCTGATGAGCCCTCGCTGGAGAGGCTTGTTGGGTGGTGCGAGTCGAACGACGCCTCCATCCTCCGGAGGGTCACCGACGCCGGGGACGCGGATGCCGCGGCGCACACACACTCGCTGCTGATTCTCCTGCAGCCCCACCTGTTCCGCGAGATTGAAAAGTTTGTGAAGAGTGAGCTGCCGCCGGGTGGAACAGTGCACACGATCGAGAGCGCCGCCGTGGACGTGGGCGAAGGTGACGTGATGGACGCCGAGCTGATTGCGCGTGCCAACGCTCACGTGACGGGAGCCGGTGGCGTGAGGAACGCCGCTACGAGCCTTCGCACCGGCAGCAGCAGCGGCAACCCGCACACCGACGGCGGTCGGGGTAGGACGAAGGGGAAGGGGGGCGGCAGGAACCCGCAGGGAGTGCGGCGCGTGCCGGGGAGGGACGGCGACACCGATGAGCAAACCGCGACCACTGCCGAGCTTTCCTCGACACCTGCGGAGGCTGACGGGGACGGCGACGACTTGAAAGCGGCCCTCAGCAGGTTGGCTCTCGCCGAGAAGTCTGCCTCCGACGATGAGGAGGCGGACGGGAGGGGTAGGCGTGGGAAGAGGAAGGCGAAGCGACGCCAGGGACGGCAACCACAGCAGCCGCTGTCGGTCACCCCAAAAGAGGTGGTGGGGGTCGAGGGCCAGGAGGGGAGCGATGATGAGGTGCTGGTGAACCGCAAGCAGCGCAAGCAGGCGGCGGCGAAGGTGAAGGCGAAGGATGACGGTGCACACCAAGGCTGGAGTGATGATGGTGACGATGGTGCTTACGGGCACGGCTGTGAGGAAGGGGAGTCGGGAGAATGACGGGGCCGACGCGAATCAGCGGGCCGGGCCTTCACGACGCAAAAGAGAGGGTTGCCCTGCCAGTCCTTTTCCGCGGGGCGCGTCTTGTTGCACCCAAGAGAGGGAGGAGCGAGCAGAATGTGCTGCTTATTCGCTTAACAAAAGCCCCTACACACCAGGCAGTGGAGCACGCGTGAGCAATAGTAATAAAAAAAACAAGATAAGCACGTTGGCATATATATATATATATAGGCACGTAACTATGCTTCAGGGCAGTTGTGGGATTGTGTCCTTCGGTTGCGGCTCGCGCTGTGCTTTCTTTTTTCTCCTTTCATCGGCGCCTTGCTGGGTAGAAGAGTCTGTTGGCGCCTAGAGCCCATTGAAGAGGATGTGGAATGCGCTTAGTCGCCTCGAAGCCCCACCGCTAGTGGGGCCGAACAGGGTTGAGCCGTTAGCTGTCAGCGCTCCTGCGGACGCAGGTGGGGAGGTGGCAGCCGTTTCAGGGGCGCGCCACGCAGCTGTTGCCCCGACCGATGCTGCGGCGACGGTAGAGAAGCCCGGTGCTCGCAACGGACCCGCTACGCCGGCCGGAGGGGCCAAGTGTAATGCTGCTTCGACGGAGTGGGATGCGTTTTTGCGGTGCCAGCTCGACACCGCGTTCTATCGTGGCGCTGCGCTGCTGCCTGGGTTTCCTGTGCTGCAACGCGAAAAGCTGGCCGCTCACGACGGCGGCGGCCTTCCGCGCCGCGCGGTGGACGTCGATTTGTGGAATTCCTACTGGTCTGCGTTTTCCGACCGCTTTGCCGCCCACATCGATGACGTGCAGGCTTACCTGGGTGGCCGTGGAGGAGAAGGCGAGCGGCGGCGCGTCCTTGTTGCGGCATCGCTTGCCGCGGAGCCCCGTATTGAGTCGTTTAAAGACAGCCTCACCGCCCATGCCCGTTCCTTTGGGGCGCTAGAGCACGTGAGCAGGGAGCGCTGTGTTGTGATGCTGCAATTCACCTCCCCTCGCGCCGCGGAGATCTTTGCGGCGTGGGCCTCTTCGCTCTCCCTGAAGGACATTTTTGCTGGTGCCGATGCCGCTGAGCAAGCCAGCGCCCACAGCCGTCTGCTAGTGCGTCTCATCTCCGATGATGCCGGGACGATCGTGCCGACGCTCGAGTTGGGAAGCAATGTTGTGCTTTCCACGCCGTTTGTGGAGAGTCTGTTCAAGGGGGTCTTCGACGCCGTGAGCGTCACCTACCATGAGGGCGCGTTCCTGGTTGCCTTCGCGTCACTCCTTGCGGCAAGGACAGTCATCCACTCCCTGCAGCGGTCACTGCTGGAGGTGTTCGGGCTATCGCTGACCTTCTCGCAGCAGCCTCCTGGGCAGGGCGGAAACTGTGTTGCTTTGGGACGGTCGAGCAGGGAGAGCACCTCGTGATAAACGGCTCGGTGGGCGGGTGCTTATCTTTTGTGTGTGTGTGTGTGTGTGTGTTTGTCTCTCTGCTGTTGGTGGTGCGTGCCCCCTCTGCCCAATAGGCTAGGTGGACCGCTGTGTCGCACTCTGTGGTTTAGTTGGGCGGGCCCCTTACTCATTTTCTGTGGGCCCCTACATACTTCTGCGTGTCAGGTAGGAGAGGTGCAGTACGGGAGCCATGTCCAGGCTGGCACAGCCCAATAGTAGTAGGATCAAACCTCGCGGGCGCACTCGACGTGCGTTGGTTGTCTTGGCGACGGCGCTGGGACTGTTGCTGTGGATACTTGTGGCACTGCGGCTACAGTACGGGGGTGACGGTGCCACCGCCGAGACGCCGGTGGAAACATCATTGACCCCGGCAG